GCAAGATATGCGTGTTTTGTAGCTAACAGAGTATCTCAAATTCGTGAACTGACAACCGTTGAGCAGTGGAGGTACGTACCGTCTGGAAAAATCCAGCTGATCTGGCCTCGCGAGGAGTTATCGATATGAATGTGGTTAAAAATAAGTGGTGGAAAGGTCCAGAGTTCTTGCTACGGGCTGAGAGTATGTGGCCTAGTAGAGAAGATGAAGCACGGATAAGCGAGTGTGTCTTGGAGTTTAAGACAAGTGTCAGTTTAACATCTAATCAAGAAATACATTCGAGTTTACATCCACTTTTTAAATATTATTCTTCTTGGTACAAACTACTGAAGGCTGTTGCGTGGTTGGCACGATATGTTACGCATTTAACGGTCATGCATCTTGCAAGATACGAAAATATGAATGTGGGATCTTTGAGAGTCGAAGATATTAGAAATGCGGAGTTAGCGATTTTGAGGGTGTGGGGTGAGATTGGCAGGGAGGATGGTCCAGATTTCGCAGGTTTCGAGGAGCGGTTAGATCGATTATCTCCGATAGTTTCCTAAGGGATCGCTAGAGTTGGTGGACGTCTACAAATGTTAGAATCGTTATATGAGACCCGTCATCCGGCCTTATTACCCTGCTACCATCCAGTCACTGATCTCATTATAAGACACTACCATGTTCTTGAAGGTCATTTGGGTTCTTCACAATTACTATCAAGTATTCGATGTAAGTTTTGGATAGTGAAGGGAGGTACTACTGTCCGTAAAATAATTGATAGGTGCATGGAATGTAAACTCCGAAATGCTCGTCCAGGACAACAGATGATGGCACCACTCCCAGCGTGGCAAGCTTCTGAAGGGAATTATCCATTCGAGTACGTTGGGGTGGATTTGTTCGGACCTTTTGTAGTGAAGAGAGGCAGAACCCTATGTAAAAGATATGGCTGTTTATTCACCTGTTTGAAAATGAGAACTGTATATATTGAGATGGTTCATACGTTAACTACTGATTCATTCGTGGTAGCATTACGTAGATTTATAAATCGCCGAGGTGCACCGAAGATGATGTTCAGCGACAGAGAGACTAATTTTATTGGCTGTCACGCCGGGGATAAAGTGTATTTCGAAGGTCCTCAAACGAGAGTTCATGAAGAGTTAGTGAAAAGAAACCTCGAGCGGCACTTCAACCCACCACATGCCAGCCATAGAGGTGGGCTTTGGGAAAGACTTATAGGAATTATCAAGCGTATTTTAAGTTCCATGATTAAAAACCAGAGTTTGAATGACGAAACGCTGGAGACATTTTTTGTGAAGCTGAACGAATATTAAATAACCAGCCGCTATTACCTGTGAGGGACGACGTCAAGGATTTCGATGTGTTAATCCCAAATGAATTATAGTTGTTGAGAGGCAACCCTGGCATAGAGGAGTCAAGCGCGGAACGAAAACCTACGGTTAAAAAATGGAAACAAGCCAGGCACACGAAAGATATAGTTTGGAAAAGATGGTTAAAGGAGTATGCTCTATCACTGCAGACCAGCGACAAATGGAAAAAGTTGTGCAGTAACTTAAAGGTTGGTGATATAGTCTTAGTAGAAGATAAATGTGCCACAGGCAGATGGAGTTTGTGAGTGGTAGAAAGGCTACACTCTAGTGGTGATGGGTTGGTGAGGACGGTTTTGGTGAGAACAAGTTGTGGTAGGTTGGTACGAGATATTAGGAAACTATGTATACTGGCAGGTGCTGAGAGTCGAGAGTCAGAGAATGAACCACTTGAAGATTAACCAACTTAAGGTGTCAACCTGAGAAGGGTTGTAGGCGCACTGCTGTAAGTCCTACAATTCTTCAAGGGTGATTCGTCAAGCTAGAATCCACAACATTTGATGTATTGATTGTACATATGTTTGTGTTAAGCAATTGAGTGGGTTCCAATTAATGTAATTGTTGGTTAATCTTGTTTGTGTCCGGACATTCTTCAAATTACAATCGTCAACCCGAGAAAGGTTGCATGCCTACTGGTGCAAGTCCTGCAATTCTTCAAAGGAATTCCATCAAGACATGATATGCGTGGTTACGTGTACTGTTTGTACATACGCGTGGTGTGTCATATCAATTGGTGTTTTTGGATTCACTGTGTTTACTTGTTGTTTTCGTACCTGGTTGTTCTGCATAACTTCGTTAAAATTTTCGTCGTGCTTCTGAATTTGTTTCGAGTCTTATACATCCGTGAATGAATTGATTGATGTTAAAGACAGCGGATGGGTCGTATACGCCGGGGAGGCTAGTGCTGAGAATGACATGTACACGGAGATACGGATTAGCTCTGGTCACACACACCGGGGAGCGAGAGTGTAGACGGCTGAGGCTTGCATACGTCACCGTTACTAGAACTAAGGTAGAATGAGTGACAAGCGATCGCAGTGGTAATTGGTAGTGAATGGGTAGGAGGATGTGAGAAGAGCATCATGAGGTGCTGCTATGGTCACGTTGCTTTCTGCAGGAGTCATTCTGGCGAGTGGCGATTGTGTTGCAAGATGTCAAGAGGATGCCTTTAACTGGAAGGCGTAGGTCGTCGTCGATGAGTGTGATTGTGCTGTGGGTATGTCTGTGGTGTGTTAGCTTTGCTGTTTGTTTTCCATTTCAGCTTTGTCCGTGTGACCCAGGTTCTCGCAATGACATCAAAGTCAACGTGTATTGGTCGTGATGGAAAAAGGGGATGGATCCTTCTTTTGCTGGGGAGTGTCAGTGAAGTTGAGGATTGAACGATCAATTCATGGTTGTTCGCTCAAACTCAACTCCTCCATATTTTTCGCGAGAGTCATTGATGTTGTGGTTATCGATTGGACCTTCCTTAGTACGTTTAATATATTGAGACACAGTGAACCTGCGCTTGTTATTTCAACGACGAGTTACCTAAACCACGTGGCCGGCTTACAATAATTTCCGCTAAACTTAATCTCCGATACGTACTACTCAACTGGGTTACTTTTTGTTATCTTAGATTCACACAGTAGTTTGTTCAAAAATCCTTGACATCCCGTAATTATACCCATCGAGAAATTACGAAACATCTGGAAATTCAAGGTTTGATCATTTGAACTGAAACATGGAATTTGTATTCAGGAAATGTTTACACCCCGAATAATAATCTGAGTCTGAGCTTGTTATAACTTTGAAAAATCCACTGATTGTACACCACAATCCAAATCGTTATGCTTGCTGACTAAAGTCTTACTCATCGGCCCCCGCATAAATGCGTGAGGTATCTTACAGTCAGTTTGTCCTACGGCTTCTAATTCTCCAGAACTCTGAATTCAATCCTCACTTAAATATCGCATACCTACCTCACATTAGCCTTTTTTATTTATGCACTATTATACCCTATCTGATTTTAACTACCTTAGCCTATATTAAAGCTAAAACCTGCTCTTTGTCCATATCTGTTGCTAGCCCAAAGTCTGGTTGCTCTGATTAAAAACACAAAAACACCAATGCTTGAACAAAGCTATATCTTCATCGAAAACATCAGTTTCCGTGCTTGGAACAATATGGTTAGCGTAAGTGGCACAGTAGTTAGGACTCTCGCCGACCATGAACATGGCCCGAGGTTGGATCCCTTGTGGACGCACACCTGATATCTATGATCGGCCTGCAAAATTTGGGCTACCGATATCCATGATGAAAATTCCATACTTGTACCAAAAATACGGCGTGGAATCAAGCTGTAATCAAAAATAAACAAATAAATATTGCGAATGTATACTATCATTTTAAGCACTAAATAGCGTCTTCTTCTTCTTGTATTTATCTTGCATATATACTTCCAATAATGCATTATTCATAATTGCATTTCATGCCATTTTGCAGCTGCGCAGAATTTTCTTCTCTCTCTGAAATAGCGTTCAATCACGTGGCGGCATAGCACTCACCCAGATATACGCTATTCACTGGCTGACCATAACTTTCAGCAGGAAACAGAACGAAGTTCGGGTTGTCACCCAACTTTGATGGTGACATTAGTAAACGGTTTACAATTTAACATTTATAAGAAGCTGTTCTAATTGCTTGTACAATAAGTGAGCAATTGAAACTTTTGAGAAAGCATTCATTTATGATACTTCAGGATTGTAATTTATAACATTATTGATGGTGCCGGTAAAAATGGCATGCATTTCTTGTAAACATACCCGTTAATATGAAGTATAAATTATTATCATTATCTTATCTATTTAAGATAATTCTTACACTCTCCAGGTCACTGATAACATTAGCTTAACTACAGGCAATTCTAGTTCATGTAGTACATTAGTCGCTAACAACCATATGTAACACGTACCCTTTAAAGGTTTCTGACTGCCTTTTGGTTTATTTTCGTTTCCAAAAGTACAAACACTACATATTCATACTTTGCATGTGTTTCATTCTTGTTTAATTTAGATTCTCCCACGTTCTATCTGGATTTTAACTGATAACTGATCGTCTACTCACCTTCTCGAAAAGCTTCAAAGCTTTTGCAACCTCAACCCAGGTTCTAAATTTTCCAGGTTTGATGTGTTCTTCGAAAACCCTGATAACATCAACTCTGATCGTGCTTTCCTCACCAAAGTGACTCTTAGATTTTTGCATGTTATAAACATGAAAGTGGAGGATACTGTTTTTCCAGGTTTCTACATATTAATTAACCAACTGAGCGAGCAACGATAACGGCTATCAAGAAATGAACTGGAGACAATAGCTTATACCACCTAAACAAGTTCATGCACAAGAGTTCCGAAACTCCTATACAGTAATATTTCATCAACGGCTGAAAAACAATTAAAACACGGTAAACACGCATAAATGCAGCGTATGAAACAATTAAAATGAAATGAGTGAACGGACCTGGTAGTAAAAACTTTCGAAACAAACGAAATAACTAATTTTAAAAGCAATGGAAACACAAATGAGTTGAAAGGCAACATATGTGAAGATAAGCTGTGAATAACCGCGCGATAAACGTAAAAGACAATGTGTAAACTTACGGTTAGGTAACGGCAATCAAACATGGCCGACTAACATGGATGAAAATGACCTGCCGGTGTCTAGCTCCTTCTATGACCTTGTCCACAGATAGGGCATTTGATGACCTTGAGGCCAGTGCGGTGTTTCAATCTGCACATAGCCATTTGTGCCATTTGTGCCGCGATCCTCTATCTCTGTCGAAATAAGTAATTGTCGTTTCTTCGCAGTTTTCGTACAGAATTTAGGTTGTTCCGTTAAATTTGCAGAATGATAATCATCACCAAGTACTTTCATAAAAGTTTGGGTAAATGTCTGGTGCTTTTTATGGTTCACTAGTGTTATGATCCATAGATCATAGGGTGAGATTAAGCTATAGCAGCTATTTTAGCCTTTGACCTTAGACAGCCAGTTGAAGCTGCAGATGTTAAAACTTTCTACCTTCACCTTTACATTTGCTTCGCGAGTTCCAGAAAGACTGTATTTCGGCTACTGAGAATTATGATTCATTCATGGTAACTAAAATATGCATATGTGTGTAGAACTTGATAAGTTGACCCGCCTTTAAGTAGGATTGTGAATTCCAGGCTGCTATGGCTTAGAGTTACGAATTATAGAACACTTTGATCGGTAATGGTAAAGAATAGACACCAAGGCAAAATGGTCTTGAATCAACCAGTAATATGGCTCGGCATTACATATGAATGTTGTCCATAATCTTCGTTGCAAGTTTCAACCAAATGTTTTTACACCAATAATAAAACGGCTAATCCTCCTAGGCACTACCATTCATACGCTCGAGTAGAAAGGTTAGTCGAAACTATCATCATTCGACTATATTCATCGTTAAGTCAATCATACATCTAAATTAGTGGGTCCTCTAATTGGAACTCATACAAATTCTATTAAAGGATTCTGGGTCCATCTAAAAAACAGTTTTATAAAAGTAAATGGCTCCCGATATGATATACACCCAATTGGACCAGTGTATTATTTTGTGCTACGGTGAAAAATGTCTATTATCTCGGGATGTTGATAATCAGGAATTAACGACGTTGTAGATTTAGTTCATAGTTATCCTCAAAGGTGCATGGGTATTCACTGCTTATGGTCTACACACCAGGAGACTCATTAAAAGTGATCGCATGAAGTTGCACTTTCTCTTTAAATCGGTAGAGTGTGATTTCACTTTATCAAGTTAAAACAAGTGATTCTTTGAAGTATCTTCGTAGCAGATTTGTCATTAAGCTGCACAATCATATATATATACATATATATACGATTGTACAGCTAGCTGGATGAAAATTTGCTAAAAAGAAACTGTTCTCTGAATCAATCCTTTTGATTTTCTATGAGTGCTAATCGAAATTTTCTACGACTTTTAATGTAGAACAAGGTGTAGTAGGTTTAGATGATAACGTCTCCATAGTTAAAATAATTAGCGACAGCCTGTGAAACAATTTAGCATATCGTTTATGGTGTGATAATTGATATGATTATGAACTATAAATTACCTTCGAAACGTCATCCAGTAAATAATACTGGTTCACTGCATGATATGACTAGTAATTACCGTACATGTTTTTCACTTCTGTAAATGCGAGCGTTTTTCATCAAAATTTGGATTGTGACAAAATTTGTGCTTGTATTTTCGTCATTTTCGTTTTTGATAATCTTGTTAACTCTGCAGATTGCAGGTCATTAGTTGTAAATGTGTTTTCGAAGTTGTAATATTGCGGTTCAAAAGGTCTAGTCACATTTTACCGCAGTGAATTTTGAAAAATCTTATTTGAACAGTCTCTACTCTATTCTTTAATGACTATAAATATTAGGCAGGTTTTTTAATCTAAGTGTATGATAATCGTTGTTTGTTAGTCATCATAGTGGTTGTTTGAAACTTACAATGGTCAAATTTTGGTTTTATTCTTGGATGGGTTTTATGATGAGTTGCTTTGTCAAGATAGATTCTTACTATGGTTTCTAGCTAAAACTTTGAAACTAGATGATTTTGCGAAATCCAGTGGTATATGGTATGCTTGATAGTCAGTCACCTATTGTCTATAGCTTGAAGATACTAGCTGGCTGCACAAACTTCAGTAGGTATATTGGGATTCGTAGTAGCTAGTGAAATGAGTTATCGAAGTATCAAACGTTAGCTGACTGAGGTGGTTGGATAATTTGTCATGTCTTATTGGCTTCCTTCTAAGTAATATAGCCATAGAATGGTTCAGCGAAATGCCATTTACTTAGTAGTTTTATTCAAAAAGTCTTTAAGTGTGACTTTTTCAAAGTGTTAAGAAGAAATGAGTTTACATCTAAGACCTTACGGTTAAAAATGGATGGCAATGGACCGTTTTGCATCTTCATGCTGAAAATCAGGCGGTCAAATATCAAATTCATTAACTACAATTTCCTAGGTTACAAAATTCTTCGCAATATGTACTTTTCTGCTATTGCTGATGTCATATATTGGAATACTTAAGAGGTATTTGCGGTGATTGAGAAATATCTTAATTAAATGTTATTTTACTCTATCTTCTTATCTTATTATTCATCTCAAATGTTAAATTAAAGTACAAATTTCTTTTGTTTTATCTTTCTCAGCATACGGACAATCCTGTTCTTCTAATCATTGACTATGGTACGGTAGTATTCACCAAATCATATTTTGATTCAGGACCATTTCCTTGTTGGGAAAGCACTTTCAGCACGTTCTGATAGCCACTGTGGAACAAAGTTGGAGAAATGTAAACGAAAGCGTTTGTTTGAACCAGTTTCATTGCATGAATTGGAAAATGCTTATACCCAATATCTGTCAAGTTTGTCTCAAGAGTTTGCTCGTGCTCCAGCTCGTCTGTCCAGCGGTGTTATTGATGGTGATTTTATTCGCCTTAGCAAAATCTGTGGAAAGTATTTCCGTATAATGGGTTTCTCCTTTAATGGGTCCTCGTATCTTTATCCAGAAGAAGCTTTACTTCTAATAGAAAGTAATAAGATACAAGTATACGATGGTGATTTACCACTTAGCGTTCAACAACTTTACGATCAACTCCTCAGTGGTGAAACATACTTACACTATCTTGTTTACTCTCGGTTATCACGATTAAATTTCAGCCTTCGGAGAAGAGTAAAGTGTAATGCATTGACAGTTTATCGTAACCTAAAAGACAGATTGTTTAAAATCCCTCAATCGATAAACATTCTCAGTACAACTGAACAACTCTGCGACACAGTTGTAAGCAAGACAAAGCAGCCCGAAGGCTTCCAATCTCTTGTTGATAGGAATGAAATACATTCAATCGCTGACCTTATGACTTGTCTACAGAAGATTGTACTATCGGAAAATGCTGATTCAAATCAATCAAAACGTGGTTTAAACCTACTCTATGATGTATATGGAAATAATCATGCAGAGAAAGAACGAATCATAAATTTCTCCAAACGTTCCCCCGCTCACCCTGACTATGTTTTGTCAGTCGTGTCTCCGCAACAAGTGTATCCATGTGTTGAAGCGGACAGTTTAATTAAAGCTGGTCTAATGCCTGATACATCTGTTATTGTGGCCATGGTGGATGGATGTGATATTTCTTTTTACATGTCAAGTCATTTTGAAATCCCAAACCTCAATTTTGTGCTGACTCATTAACTTTTAATAGTGTCTGTAAATATGTTATAAATAAATCAATTTTATTCACTTCATCAAATTTCAGGTAGATTTTTCTGTACACACTCAAACTATTGTAAGTTCAAGTTTTAATTTCGTTTAATCTCTGAAAGCGCTTGCCAAACCAAATTATATTTCTTTGAGATTCGAAAAAAAACTGGTGGTTGAACCGCAGTCATTCACCATAAGTAACTGTTACGCTAGATTTTGCATCGGTAGTTTGGTGGTAGAATGCTCTCCGGTCAGGCGTAGACGAGATGTTCGACTATCGACCAAAGGGCGGGTGTACTGCTCATCAGTCCGCTCCGTCCTCCTTTATGGTTGTGAGACCTGGCCACTGAGAGTGGAAGACATGAAAAGACTAGCTGTCTTTGATCATAGGTGCCTGCGTTCTATTTCCCGTGTAAAGTGGCATAATAAGGTGAGCAACATGGAGGTTAGGCGTAGAGTTCTAGGTAAACAGGGGAAATCAATCGACGAAGTCGTGAAGTTGCAAAGACTGAGATGGTTAGGACATGTGTTACGTATGCCAAGTCATCGCCTCCCTCGACGAGCTATGTTAGCGGATATAGGGTCAGGCTGGAGAAGAGCTAGCGGCGGTCAAACAAAAACTTGGCATCAGTCAATGAAATCAACAACAGTTGGTCTAAGCCACGTAGAAAGGTGTAAACTTCCAGGCTGGGGTCCTCGGGACGGTAAAAATCTATGGTTGGAAACAATTGGTGACATGGCTCAAAATCGTTCTCAGTGGCGCAGATGCATCCACTCCCTGTGACTTATGATCTTCAATGAAACTGTTTTGTTCTTCGTTATTACTCCTCCTTTGTCTCACCCCTCTGCTCACTGTTTCTATTATGCTTTTCTTGTACTTTCTTCTCTTGCTTCGCGTGCTACACGGAATGTGGCGACTTGAACTTCCGCACATTTGTGCAAAGTTCTATGTCGAAAACAGACAGACAGACAAGCGGAATGTCCGGATTCAACTGTCGGCCGACCCACCTCTACTGCACCCGGAAAAGGCGGAAGATTAGGCATGAGTCTAGTAACCCTACTCTGGAAAGCCAATACCACCGCTACTGAAACTTCAAAAAATGTTTGCTGTTACAACTATTACTCCCTTGGGTTCCGAGTGGAACATAGGGTTTCAGCAGCGCATCCCCACTTCATCCTGTTTACAACCGTCATCTCTAACCGGCTCCACGATTGTCCATAAGCTTTCATCTCACTACCTCCTGCATATCACCCTTGGACGCTCGACCCGTCATTTCCCGTCTGGGTTTCATTCGAGGGTTTGGAGCGTGATGTCGCTTAACGCTCTCCAATCCATCTGCGTTTCTTCCTGCGTATTTGTTGGTAGTTAGGTACTAGGTTGGTTTGATACCAGAGTCCCTTGCTGCCTATCGTTTGTGGCTATCTAATCTTCAGTATGGAGCCAGCTAAGTCAGTTCTTGATAGAAGTCTGCAATGGCCTGTTGGAAATGCCTTTGGTGATGCATGCTTTGAATCTCCAAACCATATATAAGCACTAACATCCCATTATTGTTGTTTGTATCATCCTACAGAATTTCTCTATCAACAGAAAGTTTGTTTTCTCAATTGTAATTTACTTTCTTCCACTCTCTTGGAATTTTGGTTTTTCTATTTTGGGATGAAATTCCGTATCTGGATAATTATTATTGCGTGCAAATGTATCACTTGAAACCTAGTTGGGTACCAGCAGTGATTGCTAACCAACGAGATTTAAATACCAGACAGCCGTTTCGCTCGTCTAGGGCCGATTTGATCATCAGTATGTCCTGTTTGAATCATCTCAGAAAGGTGAGTCATTTTAAACCAACCGAATCGTGGCTAGCTATTTACGGGAATTGGTAAACGGGGCTGACAATTATTTTAATTTGTGTAAAACTTGATGGAAGAACGTCAACACTGACTGATATGTGTGACCCTACCGATAGCTGCTACCTTGACATGGTGGTCGGGTTTGCATATTCCAATAACGCAACAAGCTACACTAGCTGGAACTATTATTTCTGAAGGTCCTACCATGTCAGTAAGGTTGTTAGGATAGCGATTAGACTAAAAATAGTTACCAGAATAGTGTAAGAATTTTTTTACACTATGCATGAGGCCGAAGTCGTACTGCTGGGAAAAAGGAATGTAACAGCAGTAAAGTGTTTCCCAGCATTCCGGCTGTGCTGTCTCCACTCTGGAGGGAGAAGGTTAGAAGAAAAGGTCAACCCCAACAATTGTACATCCTGACTTATCTTGCGGTGGTCCGTAACCGGCGGTAAGTCTATTAATTAATACGAAACCAATCCCAGAAACCATTTCATACAGGCCGTATGTGACCGGCCTCAAGCAGTTGTCCCCTAGGCTCTGCGGTCACACAATACCAAGGTAAGAATCAGTTTCCACGGTGTGGGCAGCCGGAAAGTAGCAACCGTCCTTACACTTCCAAAAACACAGTAAGCCTCCCTGAGCATCATTCTCCTATACCCACATCACCATCATCTTACTTCCCTACTACAGTCAGTACTATTCTCCAGGCTAGTGAGTCATATTCAATCCACTCTGTGACCACAAACAGTTAGCTGTAGACACAGCTGTAATAACCTGAAACCTAAAGTTAGTAAAAGCCATTGGATCTCCACTGCCTCATCCGAACTGGTTGACGCAAGAAGACTGATTCCAGCGAGCTCCGATTATGATGAGGAGCGAAAGGTACTCAAACGAAAATTTACAAAAAGTCTTCGCAACGACCGTGAACAGTGGCGGGCGACAAAAGCGAAAGAGATGGAAAAGGCATCGGCGATTGGCAACACTAGGACAACTATTTAGGCTCATCAGGGAGACACGTGGTAAAAGGCAAACAATAAGTGAAACAATCTGTGAGGAAAATGACACCATAATTAGCTCCCTGGATAGACGACTAGGACGTTGAAAATAAAACTTTGGGGAGCAGTTTAAGTGGCCTACGGCAACAGTCAACCTACCGAACATCCAACACCTCCCTGAATGGGATATAGACACAGGTCCTCCGTCCCTAACTGAGGTTACTAAAACTGTCACTTGTCTGAGACGAGGAAAAACTAGGGGACCCGATGGTATGACTCCAGAGGTGTTTAAGGGTGGCGGAGACAGTTTACTGTCACCGTTGACTAAGGAACTAGGCAACGTCTGGGAATCAGCGGAAGTCCCATCGGGTTGGTGTAAGTCATTGACTATCCCGATATACAAGAAGGAAGACAAGTCTTCCTGTGATAATCATAGAGGGATTAGCTTGACTAGTATGGTATCTAGAGTTCTAGGCTCAATAATATTGCGTAGACTAGGCGGTCCACGGGAGGAACCAACACGAGAGAACTGGACTGGACTACATTAACTCCCAGTTTAGAAATAGGGAGTGAAGTGGTAAAGATTGCTGACCACTGCACTCATTTGGGAAGTTGCATCAACCAGTGCCAACGGGTTGATCGTTGACGAAATCTCAGGACGGAAACAGAGGGCTGGTTTCGCATATTCCAGTTTACGCCGTCTCTGGCATAGACGTGATATCCGGCTGGCTGTCGCTCGAAGGGCGGGTGTACTGCTAATCAGTCTGCTCCGTCCTCCTTTATGGCTGTAAGAGCTGGCCATTGAGAGTGGAAGGCATGAAAATCCTGTCTAGCTATCTTTGATCATAGGTGTCTGCGTTATATCTCTTGTGTTGTATTTTGGCATAATAAGGTGATTTATATTGAGGTTAGGCATGGGTGGAGTGCTAGGTAAGGAGGAAAAACCAACTGATGAGGTTACGCAGTTACATGGGCTGAAGTGGTTAGGACATGTGTGACGCATGCCTAACCATCGCCTTCCTCTACAGGAAATGTCACATGGCATAGGATGAATCAGATTGAAAAAGAGGAAGTGGTAGTCAAACCAAAACATGGCTTCATCAGACAATCCACAACAGTTAGTTTAAGCCAGCCAGCCACGTAGGAAGGTGTAGACTTCCTGACTGCCTGTTTGGGGTCCTCGGGATGGTAAGAACCAATGACTGGAGACAAGTGGTGATATGCCTGGCTCAATAAATGGTGCAGATGCATCCAATCACACTGTTCTAGGAGGAATTTAACCCTCAAGTCTTCCTTCGGAAATCGAAATTATTCAGATCGCAGTAAATCCGTTCTGCTTGAGTGCCATAAATGGCACTCACCGATCGAAATGAGTAGTTGAATATCAGTTATATATTTTTTAATTACAACGTGATTCCACACCGTATTTTTGGTACGTATATAGAATTTTCAGTACGCGATATCGGTAGACCAAATTTTGCAGGCCGATCATTGATATCAGATGTACGTCGTCAGGGAATCAAACTCCGGACCATGTTCATGGTCGGTGAGAGTTCTAAACACTGTGCCACCGTCGCACTTGGACTGATTCGGCTCTCTGAGCTGAGTCGAACCGAGTACCCACCGGTTTCAAACAAACGAAGTGACCATCCGGTGATTAGGTCAACTCCGATCCAGCTACTTAGCCATCACTACTGGTTGATATGAGTGGTATGCAACTACTCATATCAATCAGTGAGTAGTATATAGTATCCTACAAAGCATTCAGTCATCATCGTCTGAAGATTGTGTACCAAAAAATAACCACTTATATCAATACTACTTTTTTATTCCTTCGCTATCCCAGTGGAACATACAGATTTGAAGTTTCTCTAGCAGTGGTGTTTTTTCTCCGGGGTGGGGTCCCTAGCCTCACGCCAAACCTTCCCTTTTTACCGGGTTTACTACTGCCAACAAGATAAGGTTTAGGAATCCGTCGACCAGGAATCGAACCACTTGAGAGTGTGGATGGTGAGCGTTAATACTATTGAGCCACTAACGCATTAGCAATGCTATTCAGCTTCCGTAAATTTAAATCACCGCATGACTGTTAATCATTGTGACAAAATCTAAAAAAAAGTCAACATGTGTAGGACAACTCATTTAATAATATAATTCCCTCTTTCTTCTTTTAAGTAAGCATATACCATAAGTGATAGATAAGAAGAGAAGCTGTGTAAATAAGTTCACGAATCTTTGAAATATACACACATATATAGAAGTTGAATAAATAAAAACAGACGTGAAAACCTTTTCCCATGTGTAAAACACTTTCCCACCTTTTTTTGTATTCTTGTTTGACACAGAAAAATTGTGAGAAACAACAATATTATAATATTAAAAATCATGCGTCGATACACTTCAAAAAAAATTTTCCAGGTCGATAAAAAAGCAGTTGTCGCTCAGAATAAATATGTTCATTAAGGCTGGAAATAGGAAATAAATAAGTAAATTTGAAAGCAGCTTAGATGCCTGATTCTGATGTCATATTATTTGACGGTGATTGCTGACGTTGTTGCTCACGCATAGTTTCACGTTCAAGTATCTATAATTAGTTATAGAGAGAAAGAGAAAGATGGATGATTAGAGAACACAATTTAAACAAAATTTCTCATCACACTTTACGTAATTATACTTTCATTGGTCATTAGGTAGTAAGTAACCAATGGTGTAGACTGAATTCTGTCAGGCGAATTTGCGTTGTATTCACCACCATGTACTTGCTAGGTAACTCGCCAATGTGGCACACTTTGAATCAGCAGGAATCCTTGGACCTAAGTTTCGTGCTGGTTGGTACTTGTCAGCCAGGTGTGTCTGGAATCTGAAAGGAACTCATAGTCCACATTTTGATAGCGATGTATTCTCAGACAGTGAGAAACGAGAAGATAGGGATATCCTGGACCGACGTTAAGAACCTAGAAGACCTGGATTTTGCGGATGATATATGTTTGGTGTCACACAAAACCGAAGACTTACAAGCGAAAACCGACAAACTGGTCGAAGAAACAGCCGGGGAAGACAGGACTCCAGGTGAACATAGACAAGACGGAGGTTATGAAAATAACCAACCAACAACAACAGCAACATCCAGCGCCAATCACCATCAACAGGAGGGATTTGAAGGAGGTTACTTCATTCACTTATCTAGGGAGCATTGTCTCAACTACAGGTAGTTGGAAAGGACGAGGATGTCAAATCGAGGGAGAATCGGAAAGGTGAGAAACACATTCATCAACCTGAAATCAATCTGGAAATCTTCGTCACTCAGCATCAACAACAAAATTCAGTCGGATTTTCAATACAAACACCGTCAAGTCAGTTAGTTCTTCTATACAGATCAGAAACTTGACGGGAGGGTCACAAAGAATATTTCCAACAGCCTGTTGCAGACCTTTATCAACCAACAACTGTCTTCGCTGGCTTTATACTGAAGATCAGATGGCCGGGCCGGAAAGAATCACCAACAACAAGAAACTATGGGAAGAAACAAAACAAGAACCAATCGGCCAAAAAATATACAGGAGGAAAGTGGAGATGGATTGGACACTCGCCGAGAAGGCCTCTGGGTGAAATCGCGCGCGCGTCAGGCCATCTCTCGAGTGGAACAAGGCCGAAAAGGAGGCGGCGAGTGGGACGTCAGTGCAAGGGTGACATGTAGGAGATCGTGTGAAGGGGAGTTGAAACAGTATGGACTAACATGGATGCAGGTGAAAAGTACAGCAGAAGGAAGACGGAAGCAAGTGGAGACGTGCAGTTGAAGCCCTATATTCCACTAGAAACCCAAGGGAACAGTAAATAAATAATAAATAACAAATGTTTGGCACATGATTCGCCCCTGTCAAACGTAGGATGATGCTACAGGACCGACTTGGACCGAATACTAGTTGAAAGGCAGGGAGTGAAGTAGTTGAGCATGTTGACCTGACCACTTTACTTATTTGGGAAGTTGCATCAATTCTAACTGACTGATTGCTGAAGAAGTAAGTCTCAGCACGGATATCAAAGGCTCTTGTGGCATTTGCCAACTTACACCATCTCTAGCGTAGACGTGACATATCCGACTACCGATCATAGAATGTATGTGCACTATGCAGCAGTTCGCTCAGTCCTCCTATGTGTCTGTAAGACCACGGCCATTGAAAGTGGAAGACCGGAAGAGGCTGTCTTCGACCAGAAGTGTTTGCGTCCTACCTCTCATGTAAAGTGGTATGATATGTTGAATAATATATTGGTTGAGCGTAGAGTGCTAGATATGGAAGGGAAGTCCATCGGTGACGTTGTAAAGCTGCATTGATTAAAATAGCTGGGTTGCGTATTACGCATGCTGAGCCACTGTCTTCTTCACCAACTAACTGTAAGCTGACATAGGATTAGGGTGAAAAAGGGTTGCGGCGAAGGGGGGGCAGAATCAATCCATAGAGTCTCTAACCGTTGGTATGAGCCACATACATAGGTGTAGTCTGCCTGGTTGGGGTTCTCGAGATCCTAAGAAACAATGACTGGACTGTATTTCAAGATTGTTCTTACTGACGCAGATGTGTCTTCACTCTTTGTAGTCTCTCTTTCTGACCCATTAAATCCTCATTTTTTTCCATATTCAAGTTAAATGAGTTTTAACAATGAAATATGCAATCAGAAACAGTATTCATAAATGTAATTAGGGAAGGACAGACTTCCGCATATGACCACTTCAATATGCATGTATATCAGTTCACCTGCTCTTGCGGAGCTAGGTTCATAGGTCGTTCTACGCGGGTCTTATCGAAACGTGTTAGAGAACATCATCCAGCATGGCTGCAAAGAGGAGGAGGCACTGGTTCAATCAGAAGCGCAATAACTGAACACCTACCTCGTCAATACCTGTCACAGAATCTCAACTGACTACTCATCATTTAGAGTCATTTACAAAGTAAACAAAAATCTACCAAAGGTAGTCAGTGTGCTTCCGACTAATTTGTACTGCGGAAGCTCTCGCCATATGCATCGAAAAGCCGGAGCTATGATTTCGAAAGAAATTAGTCCAGCCTTTACAACTACCATGGACCTAGTTCGGTATGTTCCTTAATCCTTCAGTTTTTTGGTTTTCTTCACTGTTTGTAATTTTCTCTCTTTGTCTCCATTCAATTCATCCTACTTTTTCAGTTATAAAATCAGTTACTTCAAGTTTGTTTTTCATGCCCCTCCTGATCACACCCGTAATCCGTTTAGAATAACCATTTTACAATCATATTCTAATCCTGGGTAACTTTTTGTTTCTATGCCTCTTGTAATCTATAGTCTCACCTTCTAACTTACATTTTAAGTTGAAATTTTGATTCCAATTTGTTTCCATGTTCATTTTGTTTACACCTCTAATTCGTTCTATCCCTGCGTCTCTAAGCCTCTTGTAATTCATATCAAGTTAAAAATTATTATCACCTTTGTTACTATGTGGAATTAAACAAATAAGAATTGTATCCATGTAAACTAATCTATATATAAATGCGATTGTATAGCTGCTTTTGAGAATGAAATCGCCGAAAAGATCGCCATCTTTGCTTAACTTCTTATTCTTTTCAATCTAATCAGCGGTACATGTACTAAAACTGGAACGATACAGAGAAGATTAGCATGGCCTTTGCGCAAGGATGACACGCAAAGTCGTGAAGCGTCCCATGTTTCTGCGTCGGTGGCATAGCGGTTAGGACGCTCGCCGACCATGCACATGGTCCGGGTTCGATCCCCGGCCAACAGACGTACTCCTTTACTTCGCTAAGACAGAAATAATCCTGGTAAAGAGGAAAGGTTGGGCATGAGGCTAGCAACCTCATCCTGTAAAATTAAAAGCACTGCTTCAGAAACTTAAAGCTACTAGCTTGAAGCCCTATGTTCCATTGGGAACGTGAAGGAAAAAAAAACTATAAAATTACCTTGAGCGCCTCTCGTCTTCGATGCTCCAGTTTAGCTATCTGATGGACAACAGAAGTAGGTGTGTGTGGAATAAGTGCACTAATCGTAGCACGAGTAATTATGATTGTATGCTATCGATAAAAAACAAATTAAAATTAAAAAAAAAACATAAACAGGTGAGTGAACTATTGTAATATTAGAATGAAAAATTTAGATAATATAGCGTGAAAAAAGGTCAATTTGTGCACAGATATTATAACACAAAATAATAATAATCATGGCTTTATTTTAAACAGTACATATTTGATACAGTATGTAATTCTCAACATAAACTACAATATTGCATCTAAGTCCCCTCTTTAGATTACATCTGTCTGTCTGTCTGTTTTCCACATAGAACTTTGCACAAATGTGCAGCAGTTCAAGTCGCCACACTCCATGTACCACACAAAGCAAGAGGAGAAGGTAGAAGAAATGCATAACAGAGACAGTAAACAGACGTGTGTGACAAAAAAGGATAGTAATATCCAAAAACAATATAGTTTCAATGGAAATCATAAGTCACAAGGAGTGGATCCATCTGCGTTAGCCACTGAAAACGATTTCGAGCCTAATCAGCAATTGTTTCCAGCCAGTGGTTTTGACCATCCCGAGGACCACCAAAAAGGCAGTCAGGAAGTCTACACCTTCCTACGTGGCTGGCTGGCTTAAACTAACTGTTGTAGATTTCATTGACTGATGAAGCCATGTTTCGATTTGACTGCCGCTAGTTGTTTTCCAGCCTGACCCTATGTCAGTCAGCTAACATTGCCCATTGTCGAGGAAGGCGATGACTAGGCATACGTAACACATGTCCTAACCATCTCAGTCGATGTAATTACACAGCCTCGTCGATTGATTTCTCCTCCTTACCTATCACCCGACCGACGCCTAACCTCAATATTGCTCACCTTATTATGCCACAACATAACACAAGAGATACAACGCAGGCACCTATGATCAAAGACAGTTAGTCAGGCTTTTCATGTCTTCCACTCTCAATGGCCAGCTCTTACAGCCATTAAGGAGGACGGAGCGGACTGATGAGCAGTACACTCACTCTTTGGTCAATAGCCGGATATTACATAGTGAGTGGAAACCTGACTGCAGAAGGATATTTTTGACATTTACAATAATAATAATAATAATGGCAGTAATACATAAGTGTAAATTACAAATTATCGGATATAAGGACGGCAATATATTTATGATTGAAAGTATAAAAAGGTACGTTTACTTAATGTTTCACACCTAACACTTCTCATCACATAAAATGCATGCCAAATAAGGTATCTCACAAGCATAAAATGTTTCATGATTCCTTCCTGTCCAACCTGAGGAGATGCAAAAAGATAGTTGCTTCTAAAGAAGATGCTAAAAGTCTGGCAGGATGACTTTCGCCAATTTCGCATGAATACAAGTCTGTCTACAACGATGTTAACCAGTTGTCTTAGAGGGGGCACACCACTCACCCTACAGACAGCTTTTAGTTTTTTTCACAATGTTGTAACAAGTATTCCAGTAAAGATAGACGAGGAGCAGTATCGAAGAGCAGGTAGAATACAAGAATTAACAAACTTTAAAACTAGGGGTTGAGTGATACCAGATTGTCTGAACTTCCTTACATAGAAGGTGAGACCAGAGGAAAGCTTCCGTCCCCGATATATTTAATAGTCGATTTAGTTTCAACTTCACTACCGCCTAGTTTACAAGAATCATGGGGACGAACCAGTTCATGTAAGTCTCGTTTATATCTCAAAGTGAAGTTAACAGTTGGAAATTTGGAAGCGTCTAGTTAAAAACTACTTGACGAGTACCACTGGCTGAATTCTTGATGAAAGGCTATTCTACTTGGAACAAATAGATCATCAGCATACATTACAAAACTGATTTCATTTGAAGGAGACAAATCACGTAAGAAGAAGAAGAAGAATGGAAAGGAGAAAGATCAGAACCTTCAGGGACATCAGCTCCAGTTAGCTGGTGGCACTTTATAGCTGATTACTTCAACAAAGAAGCTGATATACCGACGGTTAGGGGACTAGCATGTTTTCTACATCTGAAGAATTGAAGTTGGCAGTTTTATCTCAATTCCTATAATTATGATTTATCCATGACGGTTGTTTCTATTTCGCCTCTTTAATCCCACCTAATCGTGTAAATTTTAGGCACAGTTTCCTGTTATATATTCTCGTATTAAAATGTTCTTTTTTATTTACGGAGTGAACTAGTTAGGCTCTTAAATATGAAATAGCACTTGAAAACCTCTATGCTCTATTCGGAGAGTAAAAAAGGGAAAAAGTTAATTTATACCGCTTAGTTTTACAGGCGGTCGTCAGTTTTTGCCTAATTAAATAGCGAAACGTCAGTAAAAACAATATCGTTTTGTTTTTCATTCATTGGGAAATACAAAAATCTTTATTATAATGAATATCATATACCCAATGCCCAAATTTTTTCAAACCGTTAAAAGTGAACTTGGTTTGGACATGGCATCAATCCATGAAATCCTTGACAGTTAAACTGAGTCAGGTAGGGAGATGCAGACTTCCGGGTTGGGGCCCTCGGGACTCTAGGAATCAATGGCTGGAGACAATAGGTGACATGGCTCAAAATCGTTGTCAATGGCGCAGATGTATTCAGTCTCTGTAATCTTTCATATTCCTTTCTACCATTACCCATTCTGTTTCGCTCTTATACTTGTCAGACTGTATTGATTCTCTTCACTCATCTTCTTGTCTACCTCTGTGGGCTATTTGGAACGTGGCAACTCGAACTGCTGCACTTCGGTGCCAAGTTCTATGTTGAATCCAGACAGACAGACAGGACATATGTTGCCTAATTAGCTTAGCGGGTGAAAAGCGGTTCGAATCTGAGAAAGTATCTCTGGGTTGTACATAAACTTGACAGATGAAACTTAGGTCCAGGACTTTCTACTCATCGTGCTATAAAATGTAACATAATTATTATATACGTTAATAATTCATTTAAGTGTATAATTTAAGGTTTGCTAATTTCCCCTACCACTACTACATATTGAAAGTGGTGCTGAAAATGCTGTCTAAAAAGACAATGGAACTTTCGCAATCAAACCATCCGGCACAGAGAATACAAAAACACCCGACCGAAAAATTATTTTAGCATAAGGAGATTCCATGCAGATATCCTTGAAAACAAAATATTGCTTCTATGCTTTGAGAAGTTTCTGTAGCGACTGGACTGATTTTACAGAGCTGGATTGCCAGCACCCACACCCAACCTCCCCTCTTCTTCGGGGTTTGGGACTGGTTGGTAAACTAGGCGAGGCAGCTTGATAGAAGAGGCAGAAAAGACAGGACCTCAAGTGGACGTAGAGAAGGGAGAGGTGGTGAAGACATCCAACAACAACGACAACAATAAACACCAATCATACTATTATGTACTCGTCGCCAAATTATTGTTATGTACTGGTCGAGAATTTAATAGTCCTGACGCAAGAAAGACGGAAATCAGAAGACCACTAAGTTTGCGATGATACTTCTATTTTCCAAAACACCAGGAGAATCAAGATGTCACACAAGAGTGTGAGAGCAAAAATATGAATGTCCGAACAAGTGTGTGAGCGAATATTCAAAATGAACAAATCAATAGACAGTCTTAACATGATTGGCTAATTATAATGGAATATCGATCCATATATACATAGCAAAATATATCAGACTGTCAAACACACATATTATATGGATACATATCACCAAGAACAGGCTGTCAAACAAAACACACATATTATATGGATACATATCACATACTATCAACAGCATAGGTCTAAAGGAAGTTATTTCTTTCGCTTATCTACGAAGCGTCTTTTCAACTGTGGGTGGTACGGATGACGATTTCAGCGCCAACGAGTATCGGAAAGACAGGATAGCCGCTCATTACTCTGAAATCAATGTGGAAATCTACCGCACTCAGCTCAAGGAGCAGAATCCTAATTTTTAACACTGATTTCAAGTTGGTGCTGCTATATGTTTATTTTATTTAAAACACAAACTTTGCACAGTAATAATACTAATAATAAAACAACGATATATAAAGAAAATAAGCCAAGGATAAATAAAGGATATTATCCAGAAACCGAGAAAGCATACCTGTCAAGATCATTCGACATTCATTACTTCATGATACTTTCAAACAGGGAAGAAAGAAGGAAACTGCAGCATGTTCACCCTTGATTGAGATTCTTGGCCATATCTGATAAGGTTTCGAGCCACCGATTTGAAATATCTTTCGGGCCCTAACCAGGGAGACACGGTGCACCAAATGATGCTAAACTAAGACAAATATCCTTCGTCCCACAACGTCACGTTATAGGCTGTCTGCCTCTTCATTTTTTCCATCGAGTTCCAGGGCTAGTGAACATAGACCGGTACTTTCGCAGCACATGTTCAAGCCACCGAAGCCTGTGTTGCCAGATGGCATTACTCAATGAATGACCCCAGAATTACCCGAACAACGATGCCATTAAACTCAAGTAATTATACAGAGATAGCGATGATCGAGAACGTAGAGTCACTGCACATCCTTAGTTCAGAAAGGCCAGGTTTCACAGAAGTAGAGCACCGAAGCATTGTAAACCTGACGCTTGACGACAGCCAGGCTGACGTCGCGACGGCTCCAGAGGCAGCCCAAATCGGCGTACGCCACCCTAGATTTCACTACACGGTTAGAGATCTCGTGTGTCACATCTTCGCAAGCATTCACACAACTACTAAGATACACGGAATTATCGAAAACTTTAGTCGGTTCACTTGCAAAAGTGAGTGTAGGTACAGAATCCTGTCAGTGTTGGAACGGTACTTTGCACTCAGACGGCTCAAAACACATTAAGTCTTGAAAAAGAGCCAGGAGTAGGTTGTTTGGGCCGGGTGCCTTAAAGCTCCTCAGCACTTGAAGATTCTTTCGGACCTCTGCTTTGTATGGTGGATCGGTAGTGACCAACAATAGAGTTATGTAGTTGGTGTAGGATGCTGGCACTGTTTGCCGGTTAAAATGCTTCTCCAGGTGCTCTGCACAGCGTCCTAGGCGTCTTTTCAGGCTGGTAATTGGCGTACCA